TTGCAATTCCATAGTTCCAGTCATTCAGACCAAAAATCTTGATGACATCTTTGACGCCTCTCTTTTTTTCGTACCTTATATCCAACCTGTCTACAAACCCTCTTGACTTTACTTTCAAAATTTATCCAGGACAACTTCCTCCCACCTCTGTTGCTACAATACTAACATTGGACACCAAGATGTACTCAACAGCTTATCCTGATCACGTATTTATAGTAGCACATTGCCACTCCTAAACTCCCCTTCCCCTGCTCTAGTTTTTCCATAGCGCTTAACGTTTTCTTTTGTGCCATATAATTTACTTACTATTTTATTGTACTTGTCTTCTCTGACCACTAGAATGCAAGCTCCAGTAACTTAGGGATTTTTGGACTGCAGATGGTCCTAGACTTATGAGCAATGTGGCGGATGTCCTAGAAGATATCTGAAAGGAAAAAAATATGCATTACTTTAATTCCCTAAACTGTTAGCTCATAATCATTTTTAAGATGTATTTGATGAGAATCAAAGTAAAAATGTTAACTAAAAACAGCCATGTCCCACTTTCTAAAGTGATAAATATATCATTTTAGAAAAGACTAGATTTAGGCATTTTCCATTTAGGCATTTGGCCAAGAATTTTCACTTCGGCATTTGGCCAAGAATCTATTTTCAATGGGCTGTTCCTCAAGGACTTGGAATTACAAAGCAGAGAAGAAATCTCTTTTTAAAAAAAAAAATCGCCTCCATTTGAAATTAAAAATGTTAAATCAGACTTCCTTGTTAAATTATCTCAGTCCCAAAATGAACTGTTATAAAAACAAAAACAAAAAAACAACAGCAAAAACACTCAGGCAGGATTTAGAGAATACAGATCTTTAAATTATACTTACTGTATTTCTAATTATACTATTTCTGTAGGTCAATTAGTCATTGAGTGTTCATATGCCATGACTATTAAACTGTCCTTTTGCTAGGCACTTGAGAAACATATATAAATAGAATATAAATCTTGCTGTTATGAGTTAATGGTCCAGTATGGAAGTAGGTAAATTGACAGATAATTATATAACAATGTATTAGGTATTATAACAAAAATGAATATCAGGGGCCTGCTGAGTGGCGTTGGTTAAGAGTTGGCTTGGGACGCCAGCTCTGAGCAGCAGTGCCTGGTTCTGATCCCACATGAGGGCCAGTGACGCTGCGCCCTCTACAGCTAAGATTGTGAACAACAGCTCTACCTGGAGCTGAGCTGCCGTGAGTCGCTGGCGGTGGCGTAGGCTGCAGTGGAGCTTCAGTGGGCTGCCATGAGCTACCTTGAGTGTCTGGCAGCTGGTGTGAGCTGCCAAGAGCCACCATAAGTGGCCATCCTGGGGCTGGTGACCAATCTGCCTCACCCGGGAAGAGCGCTGATAATACCAACATGGGCCAGAGAAGCGACATCCTCCACAACTAGACTGAAGAACAAAAGGACAGCAACTTGTCTGTTCCCCTTCCCCCAATTCCCCAGCGCTATTCCCCTCCCCCAATTCCCTAATAAAATCTTAAAAAAAAATGAATATTGGAACACTAGTTTTTCCTAGGGAGACAGGAAAGGCTACAAAAAGGAAGAAACACTTAGGATGCATTTCAAAGAATAAGAAAGAGTTTGTGAGGCTGAAAAAGGAAATGGGGGCTGGGCAGGGAGGGGAGGGAAGACATCCCAAGAAGATGAAATCACAAGAGCAAAGTAACAGAGGAGTGCAAGTGCTTAGCATAGTGAAGAACTATACTCTTCTAGGTAGTAAGTAATCTTCCCTTCGTCACCAGCTTACAGAAATGGAACCCCATGTAAACATGCATATGGGGCCTGTACAGACAGCTCATTGGGCACTATATTAATGATTAGATCTGCAGTTGTCACTCTCAATACATTTTTCTCAGGATGGGACAGCAGGACACACAGAAAGCGTTTTGGTGCAGCTTCCATCAAAAACTCTGTTACATTGGGAGCTTATGGCTGTCTGCATAAACAGAACTGTCTTCTTAGCCATCCTATATTCTTTGTTATAGGAGGTGTATGTATGGTATTTATTGACCTATAGAACACATCTGAACCCCATTCAACTAATTTGCCCCTTTAAATGACTGATCTAATAGGACAAATAACCTGAGCGCCCCTGCCTGAGAACTTTTGGTACACTTGTTTTATTGGTTCTTGTTTCCCAGCTGTTATGAGAGGACCTTTTGTCCCTACAAAATTTATCCAGCATCCTAGCTGTGTCTAGAACAACCAGAATCCCCAGGATGTCTCATGCACACTCAGAACATATCCATTTCATGACATCTATCATTTTCTTCCTCTCCTGCCTGGGCCCCTCTGGTGATATTTGCTCCAGGGGGCTACGGTGCTCAGAGATAAGCCACTTTTACAGGGTTATCATCACCTTCTGCCATACACCACTGTCTCCTCCTGGAGACCTCAAAATGTAGAAGCTACAATGGATGCTGCAAAGAAATGTTACTAGACTTATTTTTTTCCAATTGGGAACCATGCATCAGTGTTGCCAGTAATCAGTATGTCTAGGTTTTAGTGAAAATATCATTTCAGTTTTACATGAGCACCTCCTTTTCCCAGTGGAATCAGGCATGCATTGAGGTCAAGAGGCAAATTTGCATGATGAATACCCTGGTATCCTCATGATTGTTTCTTCCCCCTGTGACAACCAATATTTTGTTTGCTGGATCTAATTTGTCATCCTGACTCTTCTCTCAGGTGACATTCTCTCCTAGGTAGCTAACCAATCCCTCATGTATAGCTCAACTGCTGATGAGCCAATCTATACACAATGAACCCAGAGGCATATAGCTGAGTGGGAGAAAGGGAGTGTTCCCTACATTTCTATTTATGCTTTCTGTGTGCTGACAGCTGTTGTCTTTTAGGAAGAGGCACAGAAACAGGACATATTTTNAAAAAAAATAGAAGCTTAATCAAAGCTTAAAATATCCAGTAACAAATCCAGAAAATGTAAAGTGGGCCCCAGGACTATTGTGAGGGTGGTGATGGGGGTGGGGGTGGGGGGACGAAAGAGATTTCCTTGAACCTCTTTGTGGATTCTCAACATTTCTTTCTTCACATTATATTCCTTATTCTCTGATCCCTTTTTTCTTAAACATGTTATTTTACTCATTTACTCATTTACTCAGCTTTTATGATTGCATACTGTGTTCCAAACATTGTGTGAGAACTTGAGGAGTTTAAAAGATTTTGTTGTTGTTGTTGTTGTTGTTGTCTTGCTTTGCCTTCTAGGAAAAACAGTGGGATAAACGGTCTATCGGGGGAAGTCCAGACATTCCAGGAGCCTGTAGGGAGAGTATCTACTGTCTGTCTAGAGTCAGGAAGGATTCCAGAGCTCAGCCCAAGCTGACTGTGAAAATGAGAAGCAGTTAAGCAGAGGGAACAGAAGGAAAAAGCACACAAGGGAAAGAGAGAGAACATTAAAAATTGTGAGAAACTGAGGACGATGGAAAGTGTAACCAAGGACAGCAAAAAATGAAGTTGGAGTGGCTGGTGTACCACTGAAATAGGGGAAGGATGACCAGCTTAGAGTTAAACATGTTGAGGTTTACTCTTGTTTGACTCCGTGGAGTAACTTACTCCCTCTGAGAACACTGAGCGTCCTGCAGATAGGGCCAAGTCCACACTCTGTCGAAGGCATTCAAGGCCCAGCAGCCCTGCCTCCAGTGATAACTTTCCAGCCTAATCTTGCAAGAATCCTAATCTCCCTCTTCTCAAGCACACCATGAACTCAGATTCTGAGCCACTGCTTAACAAGTCTCTTCTCAGCTTTACTCTACCTGGTAAAGTCTGACGCATTCTGCAAGGTCCACTTAAACATGCCTCCTCTGTAAAGCATTCTGAGACCATTTCTGATCCCTACGTCAAAATGAACAATTGTCTAGTCTATGCTGCCATGATACTCTAATCTGACTTCCATTAAATAAGCACTTAATAACATTTGACTAATAATAGCTAGTAAATAGCTATACATACCAGTTGCTATGTACAAGGCATTTCTTTATAACTAACTATATTAACTTATTTAATTCTCATAACTGACATATGAGGTATGTGCAATAATTATCCCATTTTACAAATGTGCAAATTTAGGCAATGAAGTTTAAGTAATGTGTCTGAAGCCACACAGCCAATAAATGGTAGAGTCAGGATTCAACCCAGACAGCCTGGCTCTAGGGTCCATACTCTTAGCCACTGTCCTACAATGAAGTCCTGAAAACTACATCTTTGTATTCCCATTATCCCTAGTGCTGGGAAAACTCCATAACCATCTGTTACATTATTTATATTAGTATTCTTAAATGTCAGGATAACTTTTAGTAACTTCTGGTAATAATATGTTCTCATTTTATTGCCCTTATAGTCAGGAAGTTCTGAACCTTTGGTTCAGTCTTCAGTGGACACAAAAAAAGCCTTCTGGCCTTCAATGTTTCCCTCTCTAATAGATCATTATAATCGCAATATAAATGTATTTCTATTTCTCTCTTCTAAAAAAAAGTTTTAAACAAACATACAAAAAAAAAATCTCTTCGTTCCTCTCTTCTCCCAGCTACCTCCCCGTTTCACTTTTATCCTTTATAACAAACCGCTTGGCAAAAAGTCCATACTCAATTTCACCATTTCATCTCCTCCTATTCTCTCTCTCTCTCTCTTTTTTTTAACCAGTTAATCTTTTAGTAGACACAGCTTTCAGAGTTTTTTCTGTACATAGATCACTAGGTAAATATTTTTGCAGTTTTACAAAAATGGACTGATGCCATATATATGGTTCTGCAAACTTTTTTGGTTTTTTTTGGTTTTTGTAATTTTACAATGCATCATAGACATTTTTCCATGCAACGAATGAAAATCCGCTACTGAAACAAACATAGAGGGCTGCAGCTGGATAATGAAAGTGACACCTAAAGCAAAGTATTAGCATAAGGTTTAAAGCCTAGGGCCTGGCAAATGCCTGCCTGGATCACTACACAAAAGGAATGTCTTCAAAGCCCCTTTGGGGGGCCCTGCACCCACCCCTGAGTTCCCTTGGGCCCCTCGGGTGGAAGGGGTCCTGTAAACTTTTTTGCATCCACATAAACCCCCCCAATTTCTGTCTGGTTTTCTTCACCTCATCCTCTACCCTAGCCATCTCATCGAATTCTCTTATCATCTCCTCATTGCTCAAATGCATATCATGTATGACCTCCTTGTATCCCTTGAGGCACTGAGCCAGCCCCTTGTTGGTTTTCCTTTTGGCTTTCCTGGGTACATCATCCCCTGCTGGGCGCCTTCCTGCAGACCTTGGTTCGCTGGCTGCTTTTCCTTCTTCTTTTGGCTTTCCCTCATTCTCCGGTTTTCCTTCTTTCAGTTCTCCCTGGCTTGCTGGCTTTCCCTCGCTCTCTACCTTTCCCTCTTCTTTTAGCTTTCCCTCCTCTGGTTTTTCCTTATATTCTATCTTTCCCTTGTTTTCTATCTTTTTCTCATTTTCTAACTTCTCCTTGTCTTCCAGAGTATGAGCTATTTCTGGCTTTCCGGCATCCTGTGGCTATTCTTGGTTTTCCATCTTTACTTGCTTCTCAGGCACTGCTTCATTTTCATTGCAGAGTTTTTCCATGTTGAGATGGCCCCTCCTTTTCCTCTCCTACAGGATTTCTGGATAGCTTCGTCCTCCTTTTCTAGGCTAGCCGAGTGCTAAGAACAGACACGCAGACCTTTCTCCTTTCCATGCCTGTACCTCCTCGCCCATTCCAGTTCCACAGGCAGCCACGAAGACCCTTGCACTGATCTGAAAGAACCCTGAGCGACAATCAGAAGCTCGCAGACGGCTCAGGGTCCGACAGAAGCAGAGCTCCTCCTATTCTCTCTTAAACCCATTTCAATAAGGCTTTCACCTCCATTATTTCTCAAAATTTGGATCCAATCAATAATCAGTTTCTCATCACTCATGTAATGTGATCTCTTAACATCATTCAATACTGTTGATCATCTTTTCTTTGATACAATTTCCTCCTTTGAGTTCCAGTATACCCCACTCTCTGTTTTTTGGTTTTTTATCTCTTCTTACTATTTACCACTTCATAGATTCTTTTGCTGGTTATGCCTCTTCTCCTTAAGCTCTTATTGTTGGAGTTCCATCAGGCTCAGTCCTCAGCTCTCTTCTCCTTTCTTGTTACACTCTGTCTTGTGCCATGGCCTTCCAAACCACGTAGATGCCAATGACTACCAAATTGTTATCTCCAACCCAGACCTCTTTCCTGAACTCCATATGTATTTTTCCAAGTGCTTATTCAACATCTCTTCTTTCTTTCCTTCTTTCTTTCTNTTCGAGTGATCTCTTTCTTTTCAGAAGGTAGAGAACAGTGCCCTAGTTTTGTTTTGTTTTAAATTTCTGACAGTGTTATGGCATAAAGTTTCTTACATAACTTTTTGCCCACCAGAATTAATTATTGTCTAGTTTGACCTGGGGAAAGCGTCTGAGCCTTCCAGAGGGGCCTGGTCTCTGGTTCCTTTATCAGGGATCACTTTGAATTAGCGAGCAACATAGATTAGGTGCCCATAAAAAAGAAAAGAGAAAATCCCTGTGAGCTGAATTGACAACCTCATAGAAGATGGAGAGGTTTTCACGGAATAATGAGGACACATTGATAAGGTTTTAGAGCCTCCATTTCCTCTCCACAAAGTATCACCCCTCTTCCCAAGGTGATGAATCAGACAATCCACTTATCTCAGGGTGTGGCTTCTGCCCTGGTGGCTGGCAAAGGGCTCCACTGGAGGTCTGATAAACGCTTCTTGAAAATGGTTGGATGACAGACTGGGTGGGTTTTTGCCATATCACTTATGATAGCAGGATTTTAGATGCAGGGTTTTAGATGAATTCTACAGTAAGTGAGAAATTCTAAATGAAATCATGAATGTGTGCGGATGAAGGAATACAGAGATTTGAAAACATTTCTGTCCTCCACAAGGTCCTAAGAATTGACTTTTGACACAGGAAATGAATGACTGCCTTTCATGGTAAGGTAATTCTGATGTAAGATAAAACATATAAACATGAACTAGCTATGTCATTTGTATTTTTTCAGAGTTTGTAGGAGGTATACAATCCTGCAACATAACATAGTTAGGAACTTGCCAACTAACCTCTAGTTTGGAAGAAGAAAAACCTTGTCTGATCCCTTATTTTCTGGGAATTCCACCCAGTTTATAACTTAAGCCAGCTAAAAAAACTAGGTCTCTTTAACCTTCTTTAGGCTACGCCAAGATCTCAATCAAACTACGTAGGTTTCTGTATTATTTTTCACGGGATATAATAAGTGCAAGCTTGCATATTGCCAAGTGTCACAGCCCACACCCTGTTCATGAACGAATCTCAGGAAGCATTTTAAAAAGCAGAGTAAATCATTCCATTTTCCTTAGCCGCATTCTCTTGTCTTCCCTTATTTAATGTCCTTTTATAGTAAATTCTTTATTTTAAAAAGAAACATGTAAGTATGCTATTTTAATATAAACATTTCAATTCAAGACTATATAAATGGTGCTACCTAATTTCATTTTGCAATACATAGTAAACTGAATGCCCAAATATCTCTGTGTTTCTTTCTTTCTTTTTATACCGTTATCCTCAGTTCAGAAAACAACCCACAGCCATTTACTAAGCACTTTTCATACACAGGTTTCCCCTGCTATCCAAAAGTAGAGTGTTCCTATGAAAATTCCATAAGCCAAAATGGTGTAAAGCAAAGAAGCAACTACCATTAATTTACCTGGAAAATTTTTGAGCGTTCCCTGACCCCAAAATTTAACATATGCACAATGCCTTTATTTCATTCACCATGATCCAAACACTTAATTACATCTAGTTTTACACTAAGCGTAATACCTTTCCAAGCTCTTTTAGGCTTTTCTGATACCTTAGGAGACATCTTGCTAACAAATGCACAAAACAAATGGAGATGATGCATAGA